ATGTCTATGTCCATACATACATGCATACATGCATACTTGCATACATACATACATACATACATACATACATACATACATACATATGTATATATATATATATATACTCATATGTTTATTGATTTTATTTGTTCAGTTTCGATACTGCTATTGATTGCTGACTGATTGATTGAGTGATTGATTGGCTGAGTGATTTATTGATACTGACGGGTGGAGGTAGAGATAGTCTGGAGCTGCCCTAGACATAAATTTGTGCGGCAATGACGACGGCTGTGTAGTGCTATCAGTCCGGGCACGGGCCATCAGTTTGGCCAGGAGGGCAGTAGACGCTTGATTTCAGCTTGTTTACTCGATAAGAGCGTCTCTGGTTCGATTTGCATCTCAATGTTCGGAGGCAGTTGATTTGCCCAATCCCGCACACCAGGATCTTGTGAAAGCCACGTGCCTGCCATCAGCTGGTTCATGGTACGGGTAGGGATACAGCTACCAGGCGAAATCACAAAAGGGCCGCATGCCTGAGGCTCAATGCCCTGCTTTGCACCTCTGTGCGCGAGATCATTTGCATGGCCGAGCAGCCCGGGCAACCTGCCGCGCGGCTCAAGGGAAAGCGGGGTGAAAAGGGACTCCGCCTGGGGCTCCAGGAAAGGTTTTCGACTTTGAGGAAGTGTAACGGATTTGTTTGCATCAGCTGGTGACCTGTGCATTCACGTGACCTTGAGCATGCATGCCGTTCGACAGCAATGGGCGGGTCTACTTCTATGGACACCGTCTTGATACATGAAGACACAAAAACTTTCGAAGCAAAACTAGCCATATAGAGCCATTGGCGCCATAGATACACTTCTGCAGAGGTGCCTGCTTGCCTCGGCACCGTGCACCCGAAGCTGCAGACACCGCATATCGGCACAGCGACTCGTCTGCAGGAACAATCGAAGCCAGGTAGGCCCAGTCCCTCATCCAGAGATCGTGAGCCCTTCCGTCGCCCGAGACCGGTGCCCTGTAAAAGTGGAAATCCTACAGCCCCAAACCTTGTCCAGGTGCTGTTTGGGCTTGTGCTGACCTTGACTCTTCAATATCACTTCGTGGAGCTCATCGCTGCCACAGTCATTTTCGACTGCGCCACGCGCCTGAAGAGGTTTGGTGATTCGGGCTTGCGACGGTGAAGCTCGGCAGTGCATGAGGTCCAGCATGCCTCCAAGCACCTGCCAAAGAAATTGCACAGGACCGTCCAAAAAGGCTCCGGTAACCTTGCAAAGCCGGTAGGCTACCAGCCAGCACTGCAGCCCAGGGTGTTGTGCCTTGACGGGTTTCAGCTGACGACAAAGGCGTGCTGAATTGACCTCCACTCATGTGGTGGGGTGGGGGTGGGGGTGGGGGTGGAGGTCTGGGAGACGACACGTGATCTCACCTGGTGCTGGATACCTGCTTGCTGGTTTACCCTTCATATACAATTGCTGCAACCAAAAACAGTCACAACCAGAGCGTGGAGTCTAGCCACGTTTTGGCGGTTTCTTGTTCACGGCCAGTTACTGGAATGGCCTGGCACATGTAGCAAGAGCGGTTGTCGCTCCGGAGCCTGGAGGTCGTGTCAGGAAGATTACGAAGGGTGACAACTTGGCGAATCAGGGTTGCTGCACCACCCAGGTTAGCTTCATCATCCAGTTCGCCACATGGATCCGCTTCAGGCCTTCGTGTCCTTGTGGTGGCCCGTTTCGTAGGTGAGACAAGTACTTTCGTTTGCTTCGCGAAAGTGCAGGTCGGATTTCTCTGAAGACGATGTCAGGAAATCTGATGCTGCAAGCTTTCTGCTCCCCTGAGATTTCGTTCACTGCTTCCGGGAATCGCTTGTAACTGGTTGTTTACACAAATCCCGAAGCCATGCCTGCGAGAAATCAAAACACTTGGACCCTAGTTCGTCGAAATCCCAATTTACATGGCTAATATGGGGGCCTCAATTACCTATACTTTTTTGGGGGTTCCTGATTCTAGTTATCGTATAATGGGCCCCAAAACCCCATTCTAATGATTAAGGCCCCTTTATCAGGTGGGAGACTCCGGCAGACGAGAATGTAGCAGCTTTTCGGCTGCCGGTCGGCTTCACGGGGGTGTTGCTCTGGAGCTCAGGACACGAGCTGCTCGCAGCGCTTGGAGTTTAGGCCGTAGCAACTTGAGCACTGAAGGATGGGGACGTGAGGTTAATGGGTTGAGGCGTAGGCTTTATCTTTCATGAGATTCTGCAAAGTTGAGCAGACAGTCTAAGACCAAGCATATTGGTTGCAGTTGCCGTTCATAACATATCGCAATCTAGACTCGCTCTTCAGGATCCTTGAAGTGACGCGAATGTAGGTCTCATGGTAGCATTTCAGTCGTTGGCATTTGCCTTTGCATCCAGACTCTGCTAGATGTTGTTCGTGAATCACATTCATACCATCGTCAGTCGTGCACGGTTTTGGCTGACAATATCGTTTGCTTCTGTTCTTCGTGGAGGGTGATATAGCGCAGAGGACCCGTCCTTCTCTCTGCGCTGGTGCTTTTCCTGACGCTGTCCATGGGCGGCCCAGCACTCTATGGAACGATTCTGGTCTTCGTCGTGGGTGCCCAGGCAGCCCTCAGCTTTTCAGGATTCAGAATATGGCCGAAATCCCCAAATCCTCAACCCAACTTGTCAACCTCTGCTCGTACCTTAGAAGCTGCATTCGGGCAGTCGTGAACTTCTCAGATGTGCAAGCAGTTTTGGCTCCGGGACGAAGCATGCACTTAGCGAACTGTTGCTACGGCTTGAGGGCACACTATGCTGCAGGTATTAACTTTCACAGTGCGACTATTATCACTATCATGTCTTTCCCATCTTCGGAGTGTTTTCCTCGCAATTCGAACCATTAGTGTCTGCTCCTTCGGCCCAGGGCAGGGAGACATCGAAAATGCTCCTGACAAAGGCATTGAGTTAAATGGCAGTAATGAGTGTAATAATCATAGCAACAGCAACCTTGATACGAATGATAACAGGAACAACATGGATAAACTAGAAGTAACGATGACAGTTACAGTATCGTTACTCATGGTATATGCTGCAGGTGATACATGGCGATCTACAGGTTAGCAAATCAATTCCACCTCCTCCAAATGTCTGAACAATCACGCTCCAATGAAACGTCTTGTCCTCGATGGAGCTCTACAGAAGAAGCTCAATTCCAAAGCACTCGACTTTACCGCTGATCAAAGCACCTTTCGCCAAGGAGAAGCGATGTACCTTGCCTACGCCGCGAAGCGGCGGTGGGAGCAGCGGTGATCCCAAGAGCGAAAGGTCGGAAACAGTGATCCGAGTGAAGCCTTAAGCGCCCGGGGCTCTGGGCCGTGAGGGGGGGAACAAGGATGTTGTCAGGTCCGACGTTCCGACCGGTAGGAAGCCGTCCTGGCTAGCCGCCCGCGGTTTGACAGCATCATCATCATCATCCTTGTCATAACTGGCAGTCTTGATTTTAACTGTGCGAGGGCGCCGGGTCTGTGGCGGCCACAGCCGTTATGACCCCATCTCCCTAGGTCCGTTTCGCTTGCGATGCGCTGGCACAGGGCATCGCCCTCGAGGCAAGGACACCATCTTCCGTTTGCCCTCTCGTCGCTACAGCTGCTAGATGCCTGTCCTGCATCAGTGCCTGTCCGCCTGTCTATCTGCCTGCCATGAAAGCAAACAGCCACATGTGCCAGCTCTCGGGGCAGCGGTTGAGCTTGATCGTGACCTCGGTTCTGCACATTGCAACCAGGCAGGAAGGTTGATACCAAGCTTGTTCTTCAAACACTGCTGCGGAGGCACAGACAGGCGGACCTAATGCAGAGGCGTGCGGAACCCAGCAGAATCCTCAAGCTTTGGGGGGGCGGGGTGGGACGTAAGATGTGGGGTCTCTGATTTTTCTCTCCTTGTCAGATGAAAGGAGGTTTCCTGCACCCGGATTCTACATGCACGTGCTGTGGCGGTGGGCGTGCAGCAGTCGCTATGAGTTCATGGACCTGCTGCTTGCCCCAAGTCTGCAGCTTCAAAGATGCATAGAGATTGGAGGTTCTACTCCCACGATCCATAGCCTTGGATGTCGGCTGGAGCTTTCCTATGCCTCCCAAGCTTTGTGCGGCAAGGCCCTGCGAGGCTTTGGCTGCAATGCGTCGCCTGAGGGCTTTGGCCTTGCGGGCTCCTCGGGAAGAGGGCCTGGGCTGGGACAGATGGGGTAGATGGGGTACAGGCCCTAGGGCCTTCTAGTAAAAGGCTTTTGGCGCGCGTGAGTTCGGACGGCGTGTTTCGCGTTTTCGTGGAAGCTTTTGGTGAGTGTTCGTGATGAAAGGTTGGTTCATCAGCATGGCACCTCCGTGGTATCCTTTAACGGCCTATATATCCTTAATTTGTTCGGAGTTCGATAGCGGGTGTTGACCGCCCCTGCCACTCCCCCCACGAACTCTCAAAGCACAGCGATGACACCCTGAGCTCCTGAACCTCTTCAGCTCAGCCACCGAGTAACACCCAAGCCTGTTCACAGAGAGCCTGGAAAGGAAACTCGCATCTACATGTACATGAAATTAATAGGTCTGACATGGAACGGTAACCATGAGCATGAAGAATAACACCACTTACCAAAACTACGTGTTTGCAGGATGGAGAAGAAGCCAGCCTCAAGCTCTCCAGGTCCCAAGAGCCTTCGACCCACTCCACAGAAGCCCTAGACCCCTACTCTGTACATAAAGGCATAGAGTCGTCAACTCCCCCAAATCCCTAGGGTCGCAAAGCGTTGTGAAGAGCTGGCGGGAGTCATCGAGGCATAGGGCACAGGGTCGTCCCGAGAGCATTTCGACCGCAAGGGTGGTTGGGGTGACAACGCGTGTGGCTTGGGGATTGGAGGTTTTTGCAAGTGAAAATGACTGGGGCTGCGGTTGAAGCTTTGAGCATACGTTCAGCTTTGGGCTTGCCGTGTCAAATGGTGCAGCCTCCTGAGACACAAGCCTTGGCAAGGTCCTATTCGTCACGTAGCACTGCACCTGCATTAGATTACCGTGATTTGGCGAATTCTGCGATACATGCATTTGGAGATGAGCCCGGCAAGCTAATTGCTTAACTCAGACCTTCAACACTAGACGCTTTGCCATCAGGAGGGTGCCGATGGAGCAGAAGGCCACAACAACGGCGATGCATGCTATCGGCCGGGTCATCGTCGCTGCTTCACTTCTGCTGATGATGACGATATTATCATACAGACGCGACAAGAAGTCGCTGCCATAGCCATGAGCACAGCAGCAACACCATTAACAAGACGACAAGCCAGGGTCACAGCCTCGACCACCACGGGAACAAGCAGGGTAGTTTTGGCTGTGGTTCTGGCTTGAACATGACTTTGCATGCTGTAGTTAGCCTTTTCACCACGTCTTGCATCTGCCGTGGAAGTCAAGAAGAAGCTATGTAAATCTGAGGAGTGACAGCAAGAAATAATGCAGCCACTGCCTGCGGAAGGCGATGGTGATCCGGAAACGGTACTGTGGTCAGTCTTACGTTTGATCGACAGGTGGGCTGAACATAGCTTTGCGGCTGGTGATGCGCAACACATAGAAGGTTTACCTTGTTCCTGGTTGTATGGTTCCAAGCAGTGAGCCTCTTCCAAACTATGAAGGGAATCTTTGCGTCAAGCGTCCTGGCTGGAGTCGGTTTCATAGTTCAGCATTGGAGTTCCAGAGCTTGAGCATCTGCTGCAGCTGAACGTTGCAGCGCTCGCAAGATGGAACTTGACTCAGCTTATTAGTGGAGACGGGTCCTCACCATAAACCCTTTCGAGCGACTCCTCCTCTGGAAATGTCAACCTTCGCCAGTTTGCTGACCGTGATGGATTGCTCTGACTCCGAGGCAGCACGTGGGTTCCTGTTGGAATAAGAGGTGCAGAGTTCCAGATTTCCTCAAAAGTCATTGCACGACAGATTCTACGTGGCGTCTTTTTTGCAGGTTATTGTGAAAAAGCTTCCCTTGTGACTCCAGCCAAAGTGAGGATGTACAAGAGTCAAGAGGGCGGCTGATGCAACCTTCGAACGAACTCATGCAGTTTCCCCCAATAGCGGGTCGAGTCGAGCGAGGTTTCATGAGTTCCGCCAAGCTACACATTCTAGGCTTTGTCCTCACAAGTCGAAGGACCTGTGAAACTGATAGTCACAGTAGTCTCCTACCGCTGCTTTCGCCAATGGCTGTTGAAAGCTCAAGAGACTCTCGGCTCCAAGCTACCACACTTGGAGGTTCCTTTAAGGGTTCCTTTAAAGGGTTCTATAGGGTCTAGGGTTTAGGGTTTAGGGTAGTTATAAGTAGGGTTATAAGTCCCATAATGTAGGTTATAATTACAGTTACCCTACTTATAACCCCACTTATAACTACCATTAACCTCCAAGTAAACCCTAAACCCTAAACCCCTATACAACCCTTAAAGGAACCCTAAACCCCAAACCCTATAGTACCCTTTAAAGGGGACCCATGAACCTCCAAGCACCTCCCAGCGGTTCCCAGCTGTCAGGCCACCGCGGCGCTTGCCGCGGCCTTGGCCGCACTCCACGCGGCGCAGCGGCCCGAAGCCCAGGTGGAGGCACTGGAGGCCCCCAAGGCTTTGGGGTTTAGGGTTTAGGGGTTTAGGGTTTAGGGGTTTAGGGGTTTAGGGTTTAGGGAAGCTGCTCTCAGGTTTCAGATTTGGAGGTTGAGAGTCCCCCCAGCTGAGTCAAGTACAGCCTTTTCAGTGATCTGACAGACGCATGCGGGATCTATAGGCCTGGACTTGTCATGCCTAGAAGGCGACCCCACACGCCTGACTACCAAAAGCCAAGCTTCGTGCTGCGCAGGTAATTTCAACCCTCTTCGAGGCGACTGCCAAAATGGCTTTTTTGGTTCCGATTGCGGACTCCAGTAGTTGGGAACTCTTCCTGAAAACATCCCGGGCGGCAGAGCTGCAAGCATAGTGAAGCTCATGCACACCTTAGGCCTGGCTCCAGGCAGCAGACGTTCATTAAAAAGTTTCATGTCAAAAGCTGAAGCAGCCCGCCTGTGGCAAGGGCGAGGCGCAAAGCGCGGCTGATACGGATTCGCGGCTGCTGCGGCAGGCAAATACGGCACAAAAGACGAAGTTGGGTGGCCTTGCTTCCAGGGTAGAGTTGAGCCTCCTTGACATGTCTAAAGCATTCCTCAAAACATGACTGGACCGAAAGTCCCTGATACCTCTGCGGGTCTTGCCATCCCGCGAGGTTCGAGACTTCTTTATCGCTGAACCAGGTAGTTGGGTCATGCAGGCTGTTGGTGCAATCGTATGCGATCCCAGCATCTCCTCTTACCCTAAACCAGAAACCCTAAACCCTGAAGCCTTGTCAAGCCCGTCAGACCCGCTTTTGAGCTCGGGAAGGCTTCGGAATCTCTTCAGTCTGATGCTGACATGGTTGAGAAGCCGGCGCCTCAGTTCTAGGGATTCCGAGAGCACCCTCAGAGGCATACTGCAGGACTCCTGGGTTTGGTTCCGGTCTTCGCTCCTGGAACGGGTTTATTAGGGTTTAGGGCTTAGGGTACAGCTTAAGCTTTAGGGTTTAGGGTACAGCTTAAGCTTGGGGCAAAAGGCTCTGGCCAGGCGCTCGGCGCCCCGTGGTGTGTCTTCAAGCTTCTCGGGTGGGGGATGGGAGCAATGCTTGAGGCTGGTCTTGCTTCTCCCCGACCTGGACGAGGCGCCCTGGAGCTTTTAGGGGCCGGAGACTTTCTCAGCTTCCGCTTGCCTTCTTCATCAACGATCTAGTCAACTGCCCTGAGTCATGGAGGCATCAAGCGTTACTGTAGCTCAGAAAATTGCAATCTTGGCGAAAACATGTCTCGGACGAATCTCACAAAACGGAGCCTGCAAGACTCTACTGTGCCTGGGAAAGCCGTGCATCAGTTCTCACAGGACCACGGTCTCCTCATGAAACCTTCCAGACGCTGGCAAGCTAGACCGGAGCAGCGAGGGGCAGCATCACTAGCAAAGATCCCAGTACTCGAGGACAGTCAAGGCGTCGCCCTGATGGCACTGGACACTTGCCTGCAGACAGCGGAACTGAAGGTGTGAGGACGGTAAGTTTGTAATGCATGCTGCGTGACTGAGTGAGCCGTTGTAGAGGTCGGCTCAGATTTGGAGTGTAAATATTTGTGTCTAGCCAAGGTTTCCTCTCCGGTCGGATTGCCATGCTTGAGCTGCATCGTCATGGATGTGTGTGTCTCCTCAGGTCGGCTTCAGTACGTTTTTCGACCATGCAAAACCGTCATATAAGCACTGTGTTTCAACATGTCCGCTTCTCAAGCTAGGCATGGCAAGAGGGTGACTGTCGCTCGAGTCTGCTTTGTTCCATGTTCCTCAGTGGATCAAGCCTACAGCGTGAGGACCTCTTCTTAAGGCACGAACTGTCGATGCCCTTGAGGCACGCCGACGTGAAGTTTCATGATAGCTCTAAAACCCCCTCTCGTGTTGGTGCCACGTATAGCATGCAGCCGCGAACGACATCGCAGTTTCACACTAATTACGCCTTTGCTGGCCAACCACAGTCGCATACTAAATTTAACGGAAGAATTAGATCCTCCTACACAAAATCGGAGAATGGCACTCCAGCATTTTGAGACGAAAGCTAGAGAAAGAAAAACTGATGTGTCATCCACTAAGCTGCCATGGAGCATGTACCCTATGTCACAGGTGCTGAGCCCATACCCATCAGAATGTTCATTATCCATCAAGGCCTTGCAGAAACTATTGTGCCGAGGTGCTTCTGCAGTCAGCCCGGCCGGAGGACGTGCAGAATCATGCAGAGGCTCCAGACGATGGAGCAGATGTGCTGTTCCCTCGCGATGCCTTCAGCATGTCGTGGGATATGCCGACTCTGCCCCCACTGATTACCATCACATTGCCGGGTCCGTCGAAGTTTGCTTCTCACGCTCATGATGCTACATATGGACGACATGGGTAGTGTTTGGATCATTGTTGTCGCCTGGCAGAGCCGTCGTGATCTGATGCCATCCATACGTAGCGATTTTGGCTAAGCCAATCGCCTCTTTTGCTGTCAGTCGGATCTCTGGGCTCTTACATTATGTGGGTACATGCGTGACCCGGTGATGGGACGGCGATCGGATGGTTGAGGGGGGTTGAAGATCTATCAATCGGGATCTATCAGGAGTGATAACATGGTCGGGCAACTCCCACATCGCGGTCTAAGCAAGTAATGCGATCACGAGCGAGTCCCCACTGAGTGACGGTATTGGCTGATCTATAATACATACAATACATACGTACATACGTACATACGTACATACATACATACATACATACATACATACAGGTAGGTAGGTAGGTAGGTAGGTAGGTAGGTAGGTAGGTAGGTAGGTAGGTAAGTAGGTAGGGTTAGGTTAGGTTAGGTTAGGTTAGGTTAGGTTAGGTTAGGTTAGGTTAGGTTGGGTTAGAGTTGGTTAGGTTAGGTTAGGGTAGGGTAGGGTAGGGTAGGGTAGGGTAGGGTAGGTAGGTAGGTGTATTTATATATATATATATAATATGTATCTTTAGTTGTGTTTGTATGTAGAAACACAACTAAATAGATATATATATATATATATATAGAAAGATTGCATGACACTTACATGCATGCATGCACAGACGCAAGCTGATACTGTTCAACTCACGACAGGCGATCCAGGAAGCGGTGGCATCCTTCAGCAAGACGCAGTTGGAGGATGCTGGGGTGCCGGGCCGCCAAGAAAATCTTTCAGGTTGTATGTCCCGTGTCATCCTAAGGTCTGGCCTCAGCTGAGAGCTTTAAATCCTATATGCACTAAATTGACAAGTCGAACATTCCTCGAGAATCAGTCGCGCAGAACCCAGTCCCTCCAAAGCTCGATGCCGCTGCTCGGTGCCTGGAGGCGACCAGCCTTCTTGCAAAGTTTGTCAGAGCCCAAACTGCTGGGGTTCGTGAGGGCAAGTGCAAGGGATTGACGGCTAGCGAAGCTGTCCAGCAACTGTAGTCTTAGTGGCATTGAGGTCTCAATGCGTCAGAGTTCGCGATGGCACAAGCAATAATTGCGTGATAGCTCTTTGGAGGGCAATCTCGCTCCTGCAGCAAGGCTTGTTCGACAGGTTTTGCCCAGTGTTTTGCACTTTCGGGGCTCGGTTGCAAACCGACAACATTGAAGCTTGGATTCGCTACATGGCTACACCTCTTTCTATGAACCCTGTGAAGTTCGATGTCGCGTTTGTCAGAGGCCTTCCGTATTGCAATATCTGTCTGTATCATGGTCCAATTGGTACCACATAGTGCAGCCACCCATGCACTACGAGACAGTCGAGCGGCACGTAAGGCAAACCTAGAATTGCTATACCTTTCGTAGAAATGTCAGGATTGAAGCCTAAAACGGAAAGTCGGGACATTAGCAGAGCCCGTGCCCATCTGGCAAGTCCGACATGCAAGAGGGATGTGTGGTGCTATAAAGTCAACATGGGCAAATCTAAGTTTCGCAGAGACTTTGGCCCTTCTGCTGACAGGGTGTAGGCACCAACACGTACTTTGCGGACTTCATTGTGGCCACAATCGCGGCAACTGCGAGCAGCGCGTTGAGGACGGATGTTTCCTGCAGAGCCTGCTAGTGGCTGCAGCAGGTGGGGTCTTTGTTACACCTTCCTAGCACAGCCTTTGTTACGAACCCTTGCGAAGCTGACATGGCATGAGCAACAATCACTATGGCATTGATTTCGCGACCAGCAAGCATTTCTGCAGACAGAAGCTGTTAGGCTCAAAGAGTGGGTTAAGTTACCAAAGCTGGCAGGACATGATGTCATATTACCTCCAAGCATGTCGTTGGATCGTTCAGCTCGGCAACCCAATTAGCACCACTGCAATGTAAACTTCTGCAAAGACGGCAGCACAAGGGTTTAGGGTTTGGGCCTAGCGTAGCTCGCATGTTCAAAGACGGTGGCTGCAACCATATGACATGTAGCCTTTGCCACCATTCGTAACGCTGGATGTGCTTTCGAGTTTGGCGCACATGTGATTGCCAGTTCTGACACCCATGGTGCCTTTTTGGATGCAAGGTGTTTTTTTCCCACACGCGGTTTTTCCTTACATCCTTGTACAGGTCTTCCGTTCGTCGTTTACCGAGAGTCCGGTCCAGATTGGATCGGAAGACCCAGAAGTGACTCTCCAGGATGACAGCCTGTCAGTGACAGGTACACAGACTCAGCTCCCTGCACCATCGACCGTTCAAGAGCATGCCCGCACTTGTGTGTCCTTGACTGTGAAGTGACCAGTCATGTGCAGATTGCCTTCCACCATCTTCCAGCACGCACAGGACACCTTCGTTCACTGCCCTCATGCTTCACCTGGACCATGAGTTTGGATTGCCACGCCCACAGCTACAAGCACATCGCGATCTTTGCCTTTGACTTGGGTGGTTTGTCCCTTTTCTTGCCGCTTATTACATCTTGACCCTGAAGAGCAAGAAATTCAGCGCAATAATTGAGCCAGTCAGGGTCAAACCCTTTGAGAAACAAGAAGACCCTCTAGTATCGAATTTGATCCGGTGTTCAGTCGGTCTCGGTTTCGCTATACGTTAGAATCCTTGCCCTCCTCAGCCTTCGGCCGAATTCTGTTCATGATTGGGAGTCCGGTCCTACCCTCTCGCAATGTACTCGTAAGTCTTGTTGGCGCGAGGGCCCCCGCGATTGGTGCTGGTTACTTGCAACGTCTCCTCCATACCCTCTGAACTTTGCATTATGCACATCAACATCAATAGTGTTGTTTATGATGACCCCTGCAGTCAAGCTTCACATCTCTGTAATGTTCTGCGTACATGCTGCCTGTTTGATGATGTCTCAAGTTATTCTATGCATGGGTTCCCTTGTCGAATCAAGCTTTCCTGCATGCTAAAACGGGTGTGGTCTTGTCTTCGCCTGCGCAAATTGAGTCGAGTGTACCCCACCGAAGCTCCAGCCAATATACAAAGCCACCCACTAGACACTCCTGCGCCGTGTAGTGGAAGTATGAGCACCAAGCGCCCAAAGTCATTGTCTCCCACGGGGCGTAACCTTCGAGTTTTGATCCAGCAGCTATCTTTATGTGGAGCATTTCGGATGCATCTGTGTCATCATGAAGGCCATTAAGCACATGTTGACAGCCATCCACACATCGGCGAGAGCTCAAGTCCTTTCCCGTAGCTTTCCAAGTCATCGGAGGTTCTGAAGGCCGAGCCTTTTCTTTTCAATGCTATCTGCTGCATTGGCCCGTGCTCCAGTTCTGTGGTAATCCTGTGCTGGACCGCTTGTGGCTCGGATGGCGATCAGCCGTGCAGCCGTAGCTTCCCACATGACACTCGATCCAGTCTTGGAAACCAAAAAAAGTAGTTGATCGGCTGCACACAACAGATCGCTGCAAACATCGCAGCATCGATTCGAGCCTGATGGAAATCAGTCGAGTCCTTCAGCAACTGAAGCGGCCTTAGTCTTGCATAGCCGAGTTGATGTTCAAGTTGCCGATGTTTTCGCATGGTGGCCGACCCCTGTCAGACCCCAGAAGACAGACCATACACAACCCGGCTGGAACTCCCACAGCCGAGCTGGCTCCCGCCGTACGCCCCAAGACCCATACCCCGAAGCCGAGCCAAAGTCGAACCCGAACAGCACACAGATCCCTTCCTTGACCCTGGTGTCATGGCGGCCGCGGAGCAGTCTGAAGCGGCTTCGGCCCCCGTCGAGCACGTACGCAGAGAGGCCTTCGAGGTCGAGCTCTTCGTAGGACCGGGTTCTGAAACGCGATGGCCTCGGGTCTCAACATGTTGAGTCACAGAAACCGTTCTTTCTGTCCTTTCGGTTTTGGGTTGCAGGTTTCCTAAACCTGAACCATAGACCGTAGTTAGCGAATGGCAAGCCCATACTGCACCTCGACTCTCGACCTCTGGTCTTTGATCCATGCGTTCGAACACACGATATGAGCGATATCAGATGCATGTCGCAGTTGCCCTCATCGGACCGTGATTTTCCTGCGAGGAGATACTGACACTTTCCAGCCTGGAGAGAGCATATCGTCAACCATTGGAGGAGCGAACCGAAGTCGCTGTTTTCAGCTCAAGATGTTCAAGGGTGGACCCTCCCTCGTACTAAGTTACTATGACTCCCACATTCCACAACCGAAAGCTTCGTAAGCTTGCTTCTAGGTGGCAATAGCTTGCACTTGCACTCAGGACCGTTGAATTTCTATCGGTTTCAGATGACGCTGTATCCCCATGGATTGAAAGAGGAGGAGGGTCTCCTGGACAGGTATGTGGCAGTGAATGTGCAGATGCTGCCTCCGCGAGAGCTTGCGGGTTGCAGCTGGAGCTGCGAGGAAGTTGAGGTGGAGGTGGTGCTTCACAACTGGTACGATTATGGTGTTCATTGCTGGGACGTCATGACTTTTCAGAACAGCGACGATACCTGTCGCTTCGGTTCTATCCTCCCCAGCAACAGTTTGCAAGTGGACCTGGGCTGGCTGAACTCTGAGAAGAAAGTCTTGGTGGTGGGAAGACTAAAGCTTCCAATCCCCAAGGATGCTTTTGGCGAGAGCATCCGGGCCTTGGACTTGAGTCAGGAAGTCACGCAAGTCACCTTCCAGTTGTCCCAAGGGCCTCGTCGCTTCGACTAAAACTGATCTAACTTCCTTAAGTAGCTTCTCTTTTTCGTCCCTTCTTCCCTTTTCCTTCTTGGAGTCTGCAGAGTCTAAAAAACAAGGCCTGTTCATGGACAAGCGCCTGCTCATCAGCCGCTCGGAGTATTTCAAAGAGATGCTCAGCGAGCCGAAATGGAAGGAGGCCAGGACCAACATCATCGACCTCAGGCCTGGCGAAAAACGCCACAAAAAAGCAGCAACTTCCCCAAAGATTACGGGAGTTTACTTGGGCTGCTCTTACCGTCAGAGTGTGAGAGACTGAGAGACTCTGAGAGCTTGCACCCACCTGCAGGAGCGACACGTCCGTCGATCATCGCTCCTTCAGCGCGTGTCTCGGCCACCAGAAATCTGCTAGCCTCATCGACACGGCTCACGAAGGCCGCATCTCCTTGGCACAGGTAGCTTGCAGCAGCTTGCAGTCTTGAGCTCAGGCTGCTGTTCTTTATCATGTCCAACACCTTCACAGCTGGTGGTGACACCAACTTCGCCTTTGCCGTCCGGCGGCTGGCAGACAGGCATTGCAGTTGTAAAAAAGCAAAGAGCTTGAGGCCTCTCCAGTTCCACTAGTGGTCCTGAAGCCTTAAGCGGGATTGCGCGTTGATATCGCAGCTTCAACCCAAGCTCGGTTGCGAAGCCTAGCAGCCCAGCAACACCTGGCATGTTTAAAGACCCCTTGCGCATAAACCGCCACTCCTTGCATGTCCTGCCGCGGTGCACCCGCGATGAAACCTGGGGCATCTTAAGCCGTCATCTTGACGCGTCAGGTATCGCCTTCCTCAGCTGGTCGAGAAGATCGAGGCAGCCTTTGTTGCTGCTACTGTACAGTCTGCATACTTAGTGGGAAAATTAGTTAAATCAGAAACCACTGTCATCCACCAGCATCTTTGATGACATCAGTGTTTATACGCCTCGCAGCCGAACGATTGCTGTTGAGGTGGAGCTAGTGAACATGCTGTCCGCCGACAACGTCCTGACGTGCCTGGGCCAGGATTTACTAGGAGGTGCCGTTCCGCACTTTAGGTCTTGCCCCGAGCTCCGATGAGAAGATCGAGAGGCGAAACCTCAGCCAGCGTCCGGCCTAACGATTGCAGTGAAGCCACCCGCTCCTAGCACAAACCTTCATTGGCAATACAGACGTACTCAAGCGGCGAGTTGGGCACGGGCCTCGAGCGAGAACATGCAATTGACCTGGGCTCGGTGGTTCTGTGAAGGCAGTGGTGGTGGTGGTGCTGCTGCTACTTCGCTGTTCCTGCTCGCTCCTGCTCCTCCTGCTCCTACTCCTGCTGTGCGCGCTGGCGGCTGTGGTGGTAGATGCTCTAGTGGGTGTCGCAGCAATAGGAAGGAGGAGGAGGAGGAGGAGCCGCAGCCAGTGGAAGGAGCGAGTGGAGCGTGAATCGAACTCGAACTGTCTACGAAGGTTCCTGGGCCAAGTGGTTGGCAGCGGAGGCCTCCTGGAGCTGGCCTGCCTGGAGATGATTAAGGCCCGACTTTCGGAAGTTCTCTTGGATAGCTGGCAGTGGGGTGCAGGGTGCAGCATAATAAGGGCGAGCGGTCGTGCAGAACGTGTCATGTTGGGCTTCCATGTGTTGCAGTCTAGGACTGTGTCAGACCAAGTACTGCACAACATGAACTGGGCTCTTACAGTCAAAGCAGAATTTGAGCTTAGATCCGCCGCTGTCACGCTGGCAGCCGCTGAACAGCTTGCATTCTTTTGCGGTCACGACGAGCCGAGGCCGACGAATGCGAGATCCTGAAGTCGAAGCACGAGAAACTTGGCATGTTCGGAACACGTCGTCCCGGGACCCCAAACCATGCGTCAACATCCGTGGACACGATGTTGGCAATCTCCGGCTAGGCTTGGAAAGCACCAGTTTAACATCGCACGGGAAATGACAAGTCTGTTCTATTGTGGGACAACTGGGTGATAGTGGTGGTTATGCTGACGATGTTAAACATGATGGTGGTTACGGCAACGATGAGACTCGTGACAAAGACGATGGTGATGCGGAGCAGGAGGAGGAGCAGAAGAAGAGGAGGAAGGAGTTTGGTTAGTCGTCGTGATCGTTTAGACTACGTGACATTAGGAGTGGACAAGCTCATAGTAATGGTGCAACGGCGAGTGGCGATGGAAGCAGAGTGACATGAACAGTTTGTTCATTCACTACCAGCAGCAGCAGTCGTCGCTGTCGTCGTCGTAGTCAGAAGTCGGCCCGTCACGATTGGAAAGAAACACGCGAATATTAGTGGAATAAAATGAAACTCGATGAAAGACAACAGGAACATCACCCCTGAAAGCCGTGTTCTTCTCCTCGGCTCCGTGAGTATTATCAGACACTATGAGGACGCTGGACCAGATCATCGAGGATCACCCGGACCTGGCCAAGCGCATCATGCGGCTCTTAGTTGGCCGCACTGGGAAGAAACGCCCTCTCGGGGGCGATTGAGGTCGCAACCTCCTGTAGACTTGCAGGCTTTAGGGCTTTAGGCTTTGGGGGTATGCTGTAGTCCGGAAGAAGAAGAGATGCAGGTATAGCAATCCTCAGCTTGAAACCATGTCGGCGATGTATCTGAACTACGTAAGGCTTGGGGTTTGGAGAAGCCTGTTAGTTCGGACGGACTTCTCAGCCACTGCAAGCTCATCGTTTTCGCAAGGCCCAGCTTGGATTGATTGATCTGGGGCTGCCCTCTTTCTGCTGCCGTTCCAAAGGGCGCAGCAGGTGCTGCCATCTGCCTGCATCGTTCTGCTTTTCGCCATCATCGTGCCCTCAACCGTAGGCAACTCGGAGGGGTCCTGAAATTCTGACGCCCTTACAGCAGATTTTTCTATTTTTGTGCTTCGATAGAGAACTCGTTTCAGGAGGGCCCCCTCCTTCAATGCAGGAGTTTGTTTCTACCCGGGGAAGAGGTGGCTAAGTTTAGGCCAGCCAAAGCTTGTGCTGGCTGCAGTGCTCAGACCAGTTAATGAGGCCAGAGGCCACGAGGGTTGGCTTTCAGGATGGGTCAGGCTCGTGGTTGTCGCAGTTGTCTGTAGTTCGATTCTGACTTCTCAGTGTGCTTCGTGCTGTGTCGCCAAGACTGGCAGGGCTGGTCCAAGAAGGTTTGCAAGGAGGGCACAGCACTGGAAACCGTTGATGTGACTGTAGTGACGAGAACACCAACCGTCCCCGCCTCAATCGTTGGAAGAACTTGCGGAGGCGGCAAGCATAGCCTACCGGGGCCTCAGAAAACCAATCTTCGGTTTGGATTCTCCGGGCAAATATCCGACTGAACAGAATCTGAAGGCGGCCCAACACTTCCGGCACAAAAAGACTGCGAGCTTTCTCTTGCATTGTGAGCCATCAGGGAAGCCAGGCAGCCAGCCTAGAGCCCTAGAGTCCTAGAACGTAAGGCGCTGAAACTCACCCAGGTCCCGTGACGAACCTTCTGAGCCAGCTGAGCCGATCAGCGTGCACCCGCACTTGGCAAAAGACAAGTTGCAGCTGTGATCTCAAGAGTAGCCAAACCCCTTCATCAATGGCAAACCGGGAACCCCCATAGAAGCAAAGTCCGCAGCTCTTCGCGATTGGGGGGAGTTCACCGGAACTCCTCGAAAGTACTCCCATGCAAACATAGGATAAGCATGCCGCTCTCCCAAGTGGGACTGCCATTTAGAGGCTTGAGGGCACATTCAGCAAGACGATGCAGGATGTCTTTCGTTACCGCAATGAAGAGATGCCTCGGTCAGTTTGCCCCTCGTGTAAACGTACTCGAGGAGATTTCTGCATCGCTTGGGCAACCTACACAAGCTATGGTCAAGACAAGTCGTCAAACTTAGCACTCCCGAAGTTCAGGATGCCTACGACCTCGCGCAAGAGCTCACAGAAGCCCGCTTCGAAGTCCCAAGAAGGAATCGTGCGACTGTGTTGATTGGCGTTCCTTTTGGCTCGATCACTCATCACTGCGGAGAGTTGGGTATTGCGTGGTCCTCGGCGTACAGCTTGCAGGATCTAGCACGATGCCGCAGGACGAAGCATGTAGTACTTAGCAGAATACTCGCTGTAATGACAGTACCAACAGCGGCACATATAGTTTGACAACAACATAAGCAGCGCCGAGCCAAGAGGACAGCAGAGTTAAGGAAAAGCAAAGATGGATATGAAAAATTAGAACAGGCATAGTACGGGCGACAAACTTAAAGAGTCGTCATGCGAATCTGACAGAGCTTTCCACTAGGAAGGCATGATCTGCAACAACAGACCTTGCGCGCGTCTTGTTGTGGCCTCTTCAGCGCTCCAAGAAGCAAGCATAGCAAGAGAATGTACGCTCTGTCCACCAACACACAGTACTAGCAGCCGTAGTCGTTCACAATTATCTTGGAAAGGTCATCTGCCGCTGGGGGTTCTGGGGCACATGATTGACACTCTCATCGTCAGCATCACTGTCACCATCGTCACCATCAATGTCGTCGTCGCCACAATCATCACTGTAGTTGTTGTTGATGCGCTCATGCTCCACGATGCTACGTTCGTTGACATCAGTGGCTGATCAGTGCTTGGGATGAATACTCCTTTGCCGTACCGCTGCTATGTGCGACGGAGACCCAAACCTTTTAAAAATTCCTGGAAGGTACTGTAGTTCCGACCATTCTGCTGCACGTCTATGGAAGCTAGTAGGAAGGATTTCAAGCAGAAGCTCAAGCAGAAGCAGCACCCGAATGCGCCGCTCTGAGGTGGCTGCGGCATGCACCCGCCAGGCCTCAAAACCGAGGTCGCAGGGGGCTTTGGGATTCACTGGGTGAGCCTTTGTGGGGTGCATACGCATGGGTGCTCAACGCAGTTCAAGCTGGCGTTTCCCACCCTAGTCGTGCCGAGTGCGTACACTACAAGGCGCATTTGAGTCTGCGTTTGTCTGTGGGGGGTGGGTGGTGGCTCAATCTACAGAGGCATTGATGCATCACCATTGACAGAAGCAGAGAAACCACATCCACTCCTGGCGTGCAGGCTTGCGCGCAGCCATGGCCACTTCCAAGGCTGCGTGTGCACATGCAGCCTGCCGGGCATTCCCGGATCATGGCTTAACAATAATGATCATCAACAATGTAATAACAAGCACAAGTTTTGATAGGAATCATAATCATAATAGTACTTGGTGAGAGGCTGCATACCGAAAATGATAACTAACCATAACAGAATAAGAGCAACAACAGTCAGAAGTAACAAGCAATAAGCGAACAGTGGCAACACTCTGAATACTTGTTCTGATCATCATGGATGCTTCGGGTCCTCGGGCGTAAGCAGCCATCCCCGGCGAAGCCGACTCTCCTATCGGAAGCTTCACCTTTCTCTTATTTCGCTAGTCCTAGAGGAGGGATGCAAATAGGATGCATCGCAGGTGTCCAGCGTTGTCCTTCTTGCCAGGTTCTACAGCCTTTGAATGCTCACAATGAGGCGCCGCAACTTCGCTTCCGCAGTGCATTTGCTCATGCTTGGCGCATTGTCTCGGAGAACAGAAGCACAGACTGACAACGCTGCTGGTTCTTTGCAGTGGGCATGACCATCAGAGGCTCAGAAATGCCAGGGAATGCCGCCGACCTTAAGGTTGATCAGGGCTTGATGCTGGGCGCAGGCATACGAGCCGCCCATGATCAGCCTGACTGCTGTCCCTGAATCGGTCCTTGCCTCGGCTGTGAGAGGTGTGCCCACACTTCCAGACGATGCATATCTGATGCATTGTCACTGAACCATTTCTACATGTTGCACATGCCACGTGGGTTGTGGTTAATAACCTAGCTTTCCACCAACAACGCTGTGCGAATTCTACAAAAAAAGAGTTTGCTATTATTCCGTGCATACAGACATGCGAGTGATACATGCATGTGTGCATACTCAAGCGTACGAGACTGCAAGGATACATGTACGTATGCACGTTTACCGGCATAGAAGATTGGCATGCACACATGCATGCATGCATGTGAATATCTTCCAGCATGGTGCGTGTGTCCGTGTGTGTGCGCGTGCCTAGCTCCTGATAGATCCAAGATGAAGAGTTCAAGGTCAGCATGTTGGTTGTTGGGCTCGCTTGAAGGATCTCAGCTTACGGATGGCAATAAGAGAATGTAGACTTACAAGATTGAAAACTGCCGGCGGTACTGCTCGTCAGAGCACTACAAGTCGAAGCGCCTCGTGTAGCCCCAAACCAGCACATGCCTTAAAGCTGTTTATTCGGGACAAGGGCACTAATCTGTTGGCTGCGATATGCCAAGCCTTTAGCACCGGTGGGCTTTCGAAAGCCCTGGGTCGCGGATCATCTGCTTCGCTGCTGAAAAGTTTACCAGTTCAACATTCAAAACTGCAGCGTCTGGGTTCTGGTTATCCTCTGGGTTGCAGGACCCTCCCCACGACCTCAAGCCCTGCTTCAAGCATCTCCTTTCGACCGGAGGATGAGCCGCCAGTCGTCAAAGAAAGGCGTGGTGAAAGCCGCAGTCATGGGGCATGAGGTTTTGAAGAATACAGGGAGAAGGCTGATCAACAGGCCGTTCTTGGGCAGAGCCACAGGTGAATCCCGTGCTTCAATCCGCTTCAACACCTGACATCTAGCGGAGGCAATGGCAATGGGCGCGGCCACAGGTGGAAGGTGCTTGATCGTTGTTGGAGGGTAGTCTGCTGCAGAAACTATTTGCTGCTAACTTGGTTGTTTCACGCGTCCTCCCAGTCAGACCACTTCGTCTCCTTCTTCAAGGAAGTCCCTGCTTGAACTTCTCCGAAAGTATTTATTCCGTCCATTGCCAAGCTTGCAGGCGAAGGTCCGTGTGCCCGAGGTGGCCACACTGCAACGCTTGGGCCCATGCAGCTACGTAGTGTGCAACAGAGAATGCTTGGTACTAGCCACTAGCTCTATGGTCCCTCCGGCAGGGCCCTTAGGACTGAATCCTTGCTCTCACCGGCGCAGAGGGTTGTATGCGTCATCAAAGAAACGAGGGAGAAGTATCGTTGCCACCGCGCTCTCAGTGTGATTAGTACTTTGGTGAGATACATCTTGTAGCAGCCACGGAAGACCGAGAACAGCATGCTTTCTGCTGGAATTGAGCAACGAATTTCAGAAGCAGCTGCCAAAGCGGTACTCATGTACAAAGACGAAAGGAATCTGAATCCGGATTTCTTCCCACCGATCGGAAGCAATGTTGCAACGCCAAGTCCTAAACTTCATGCGGTCTCCCATCTGCCACGTCCGAGGCTTGTTGGACCGACTGACGCGCAAAAGCCTTCGGCCTCATCCCCGGTAGAGAACATGTGCTTGCTGACGGTGGAAGAAGCCGAGACGACAAGACCAAGAACCTGTAAGATGCGTAGAAGACTTTGCATCGACGACTTACGTGGTGCCAGTGAACTTGTTGTCCCGTATTTACCAAGTACACTATGCTGCACAGGTGCTGAGAGGGCTGGGTAGATAACCTGTAACCTTCTTGGGCAAGATAGATTGCTCCCATAAAAAGACAAGCTGCACGGCTTTGGGCTAGGGTACTCCGCCCGTACGAGTGTAGAAGTCACACTTGCTGGGCAACAAGGTGGTTGCATGACCTGAAACACCAAAGCACAAGAAAATCAGCCTGCTTTGTTAAAACGAGCCATGGGGAATAGAAAAGCCGTTTGCTCTTTCGGAAAGCACCACGAAAGTAGCTACACAGCTATACAGGCAGTCTCACAGCTCGCCTTCAGACTCTGTCACAAAACGAAGCGGCCGACGGAGGCCAGGACTAACAGACTCAAGGCTTGAAGATCTTGACTTTGGGACATGATCCTCAGGAGCGACATCCGCTTCAAGGCATCTTGCAAGAGGAAACTCCGACCCTCCCTGTGAGGTTGTCAAGAAGATGGACAGTTAGAGAGTCATCAGCTTGAGACACAAGCAAGCTGGAGTCGTTCTTCTTTTATCCCGAAGCCATCTCTTCCCTGTGTTTCACAACAGCCAGCTCTCACCTCCTTCAGCCAGAATCCTCCCCTGCCCAGGCCCGGATCGTAATATTTGGCGGCCACTATGATGGGGGTGCGGGAGCCGGGGCCTGAGTGGTAACAGCACTGTACAAGAAGAGGACTAACAGACGAGGAATATAATATGCTTATGCATCACTGTATGCTATCATGAGATGGCTAGCTTTTGATGGTGCAAGTGATGACGTTGATGATGACCACCATCACCACATATCACCATCATCATGGTCTGATGCTGGTGACGAGGATGGGGTGAAGATCATGGCACTAATAATTATGATGCTTGTGATGACCATGAGGATTGCAAGAACGATGTCTGGACGTCGATTGCACAAGCACAACCCAGAAACGACAAGAAGCACCGCGACGACCACAGCAAAATCCGTGACCGCAGGAAGACATAAACCCGCAAGCACAAGTGCAGCAGAAGCCACGCAGTACAGTAGAACTAGCGTTCAGCATCGGAAGATTACTGCTAACGAGCCCGAATGCCGCAGTCCACACCTTGCTGCACATGTTGGACAGCTGCCCAATGTCATCAATGTGATTGTTGTTCGCCCCTCGTCGCCTCAGGCACCAGACGATGGTGACGAGACACCAAATCCGATTACAAATGCATAGCCATACTCAGAGCAATAGCAATCGTAAAGCAATCATATCACAACTGAACACTGTGTCGTACACTTACAAGTATGCATCACAGTACTACTATACCGTTATGAAGAATTAAACAGGAGCCCCTGATGGAAATTGCGAGGAGGCCGCTGACAAAAATATCAAAGCCAGGACACTGCCGCATGCTCCCCAAACCCTGCATCACAAGGTAGTCTAAGGACGAGCTTCGCCTCCTCGCAACATGTCACAACCCGATGGCATGCTTCGTCGCTAAAGTCTCAGGTGATGCCACAGTCGTGTCAGTGCAGCTTGCAATGAAAGCATGCGGCAACACTAGTGAACTACCACAGTGCAGGGCTTAAAGAAACGCTAACAACTCACGCCATGCAGGCTGGATTTATCTACCTAAACGACACTCACATCCTTGACATCGACGAGAACACCTGGACAGTTCCGCGGGTGCCCCGGAATTCACTGCGCTCACTTTTCATCGACCTGAGTCGGCATTGCCTCGCCGCACCGAGCTGCTTTTGAGGGGCATGGGACGAATCCCGTCACTGTTGACATGCCAAGGCGATGTCGGGGTACTGCGCCCCTTCCGTTCCCTGGTGGCAGAAATCAGGGACACACCGGGGCTCAGAATACAGATTCCGCATTTCAGGAGGGCTTGAGCGGTTGGATCATGTTTCAGTCACCGTCTCGTGGGACGAGCCTCAGTTGGATATGTTCGCCGGACACGTGCTGCAGCAGAAAGCGAACCGTGGCCGTGCAGCTGCACAGGTGTTCGTTCCATTGCATCCGGAGCGCAATCCGTGCAGGTTTTCTGCAGCTCAGTGTAGGTGATCGATCACGTTTGGTCGTCTCACCAAGGAGATCTCACACAGAGATGCGTTTGTGTCCCTGGCCGTGTTGTTGTCGGGTCTGCGCGATGACAGGAAGTATGAGCGGAAAGAGAGGCCATGAAGCTCTATCCGGAATGCAATCCGTTTAGGT